ACTTTTCTCTCAAATAGATAATGGAGTTAATATATTTTATGTCTCCTCTAATGATTTTAATGAGGCAGGGAGAGCCCATAGTTATGAAAATCTAAAAGGTGCTATAGAAATCTTAAATATATTTTGTTTTTAAATGTATTATTTTGGTTTAGTTTTTTTCCCCGTTGGGTTTCGGAATTCACATTTTTATTTAATTTATTATACAATAGATGTGTAAAGTAAAATCTTTTGACTTATTTACAAAGGCTTTTTGGGGTTGTGAGGAAGAATGATTTAAAATATACAGAACTGTGTAGAGAGTAGTATAAAAAATACTGATGTTCTCATCTTCCACTTTGCCCACAGTTATCCTTCTTTCTGAACTCAATTTACCTTCCCCAAGTAATCATCTTCATGAACTTGGGGTGTATCCTTCAGTTTGTTAAATTATATTGTAAGATTTTTATGGATGCTGTTGTTGATTCAATAAATTTTGTAACAGTTCCTTCTGTAGAATGAAAGATTCCAGGTACAAAAGAGATGATTAGCTCATTTTCATTTTTTTAGGTTTCAGTTTTCATAATTTGAGGTTTTAAAATTTGATTAAATTGAATTTTTTTGCATTGTTCATTTTTTCCATAATCTGAGGTTTTGAGTATCAAAAGTGTTAGCAGTTTGTTGCTGGGATGCATCTTATTAATGAGGCTGAAGAGTTGCTAACTTTGCTTCTTGAGATGGTTCTAGGAAACACACTTTACTTTTTCTTTTTTTGTGGTGCTGGGAATTGAACGCAGGACCTTGTGCTTTACCAACTGAGCTATATCCCCAGCCCCACACTTTACTTTTAAAAGCTTATTGGGGCACTTGGAAAAGTATGGTTTTGTGAATTCTACCAGTGAAGAAATGGATAAGTTTTCATTAGATCTAATTTTGTAGAAAAGAGATCATACCACCATTTCTTTATTTCTTTGATAACCCATTTAAGGATCTAGTTAGAATATTCTTTTTTTTTAAAAAAAATATTTATTTATTTTTGGTTAGGCACAATACCTTTATTTTGTTTATTTATTTTTATGTGGTGTTGAGGAACGGCGAACCCAGGGCCTTGCGCATGCTAGGCAAGCGCTGAGCCACAACCCCAGCCCTAAAATATTATTATATCATCAAAATTTTATCTTTTTCTTGTTCTATAGTATCCAGTTTTAAGCACAGTTCATGGGTATTACTAGGTCTGAATTACTAGGTCATTTTAAGTTAGCATGGTGCTGTGACGAATTTGTCTTTTGATCTCTGCCACAAGCTTAATTTTGAATTTTGAGAAAAATAGCATTCCTAGTAGGAATTTTCTGATTGTAGAATGAGGGAAACCTGGAATGTAAACTAACAATACCAAGTATTTTATTAAAAAGCAAAGCAAAACTAAAAAACTATATTGTTAACCTTAATTGTAAATAGATCAGTGATTTTTGTCTATTACAGTAGGAATTGTATTTAACTGTTCTTGCTAATATGTCCTGATTAAAATCAATGAATAGTCTAGATCCAGGTGATATTAGAAATGATGAACTGATGAAAGTTTTAAATTATTATTTTTTACATGACCATGACATATAAATATGATAATTTTTTTGTGTATTATTATTTTAGCTAGCACATGAGCATTAGTTGTTCTCTCTCTCTTTCTCTCTCCCACCCTGCCTCTCAAACCAAAAATGGAGAGTACTATGTGGTGCTTTTGCCTCTTGCCAAAGCATGTAGCTTTGTGTGAGTGGTTGGAATCTCACAGGATACAGACATACATTAATATATTTGTTTTAATATATTTTGAAATCTAGTTTACGGAGAGCTATGGAAGACAGGAATGTTTGAACGCATGACTCTACAGACAGATGAAGATGAACACAGTATTGAAATGCATTTGCCTTATACAGCTAAAGCCATGGAAAGGTATATTGATTAATATAAGAAATCCTAGAGAAATCATAGATGTTAATTTCTTTGGAATTATCTTAACTAGGGTATGATAATTATTAGAGTAAGGACATTAACATTTTGTTATTTGAGATGAAATAAAATTTGAGGTTGCATTTTCTTAATGTGGATTGATGTTGATTTTAAGTAGTTTGCCTATGAAGGCTAAACATATAAATTGATGTGGTATTTTTTTTAGGTAGAAAGGTTAAAAAAAAAAAACCCTGTAAGTGTGGTTTGTTGTGTGTGTATCTTGGTTTGCCTGGTATTCTTTAGACATTTCTATATCTTAGAATAATAATTATATTCTTTTGTGGTACAGTACTATAATTAATCATTATATTTTAGATTTGGAAATAACTTTGGAAGGCATTTATTTCAGTATATGAATCTTTTATAATATACTTTACAGATCATTATTTTATTCCTACTAAAGATCTTCCTGTGATGTGGTACTAATTAGACCATAAGCACAGTGATGATAGGGACAATATCTGTTTTCCTCTCCACTGTATACTATAGTGCCTACCACTTTGCCTAACAGAGTCATTAATTTATTTCAGTATAATGAAAAAAATGTTAAGAAATTTCTTTTTTCTTTTACTATGGCATTTAAATTAGAAACGCTTCTCATTTGTAGGTCATATTTATTACTTTCTTAACATGTATTTAATATTTCATATGTAGTTTGACTAGTTACAAATATGATGAGATTATTCCATCTTTGGATCTGTTCACTGTATTCTTCTTAGGAAAGTATTTGGTTCATAGTAGATTGCAAGTACATATTGATTAGGTATATAGATTAATGAAATCTAAAATTACATTAACAGTTTTTATGCTGATGTGGCTTACTTACTATTGGCTAATATGCTTATGATCAGCTAAAAATTAAGGCTTTTTCATACTATTAGGATGGATTGTTTTCTCCATCAGAATTTTGTATGGTATCTTTTTAATTCTAATCGTGTATAACTTTTCACTTTTATTTAATTTGTTTCTTGTTGGTTTTAGTCTGTTATTATAATCTTTTTGGGTTTTTATATTCAAAGTATTATTTACTTCTGTTAGTCTTTTCACAAATGATAATCTTGAGTAATTATATTAAGCTGAAGTTTCCAAAAACCAGTGTAATATTAAATTATAATTTTAGATTGTCTTATAATGTATTCTAACTTCTCAGAAATTGTGAAACCATATATATTTCTTCTTTCCTGGATTGTTGATATAATCACAGTTTCTCATTCTTCACAAAAGACAGAAAAATTTCATTTGCTGAAATATTTCTATATTTTATCATGAAAAAACCCCACATTTTTCTCTTAATAAATTTCAGTAGTACAACCAATAAACTGACAGTACCCTAAAGGAGATTTTAACAAAATAGCATTTTTGTTATTATTTCAAAAACAAAATAGGAAATGAAATTTAGGAAAATAGAAACTTGAAACCAATATTCATATTTCTTCTTTATACTTTCCTCTCTTATAAATAGTATGAAATAAACTAGTCCTGTGTTACATTAGAATCTCTAATGCTACCTTTATTTTTAAAAATCATTATTTTCTTGTGGTACCCAGTATTGAACCCAGGAATGCTTTATCACTGAGCTATTATCTCCAACCCTTTTATTTTGTGATGGACTGGTTAAATTGCTGAGACTGACCTTGAATTTACAATCCTCGTCCTCAGCCTTCCAAATCCCTGGGATTGCAGGTGTGGTCCTTATACCTGGCACTAATGCTCCTTTTAGATACTATCTAGTAAACATTTGTATTCACACCTGAATACAAACGTCGTATTCACAACCTGTGTCAGTTATCTGTTACTGACCGACAAATTATTCCAAAATGTAGTGGCTTAAAATTATAGCTGTCTTATTGTTTACAATATTTGGGTCAGGAAATTTACAATATTTGGGCAGGTTGCACCATGCTCTGGTCTACAAGATGTTGACCAAGGTGGATTAGATGGGTAATAGATGGCCTCACTCATATGTCTGGGGCCATGGTGTTGACTTTCTGATAATATTCCTCATTTGTTCTCCTGGTGGCATCAGGTTAGTATATGAGTGAGGCTTTGGAGTTGCTCCTCTTAATTTGGAGACTGTAAACTAAGAAGACAAGTTATTCCTGTTTTCCTTCAACCTCTTACCCCACCCCTACCATATACTCAGTATACTATGATTTTAAGAGAGGCATAGTTGACCACAAATAGATATTTCTTATTGGAGGATGAAAGAATAGAAACCAGGAAGGATCATATACTAGTCTGCGGGACAAAATAATTCTGAACTCTAACCAGGGAACAAAGACTATCCCATGACTATATCTTGGTTCTATCTTCTGTTATTGGTTTAATAATTCATTATTTTTCTCATCTTTTGACTGGGGTCCTTTGGGCTATTGGTTTTATTCCGAGTCATTTTATTTTCCTTAAGAAATTGGCCTTGTTTGCACCTGAGAAGTGGTCTCAGTCTGGTTCATGTATGTACCAGTTTGAAAGTCTAGAGGTTTATTTCATTTAGAGCAGTGTTTCTTCTAGTTCTGATAAATTTCCTTACACACTATGGATATATACCAGATTATAAATCTACTCCATTAGACAAAGTTTATATCCAGAATTCTTTATGAAACTGGACTCTCTCTACTTGGGATTCTAAGTTAGAGTTCTATAAATTTGTTTTTCTCTCTTTTTGCAGTACTGGAGATTGAACCCAGGCTTGGTGCATGCTAGGCAAATGCTCTACCACTGAATCCTCCTGCCTCAGCCTGTCTGGTAGCTGGGATTATAGGCTGGTGCCACCATGCTAAGATTCCTGAAAATATCTTTAGAAACCCTTTTGTTTTCCTGATAAGGTGTTTTACCACTGCCTTAAATCTTTCTAAGGGCTTAACAGAGAAGCTTAAAGATGCCTTCTTTTTGATGATCTTGCCATGTTTATTGGCAGTGCTCTGGATTTGATCTTTGAGCTCAAACTTCTTTGATGGTCTTTTGCTGACTAAGAGACTAGTCATGAGAAAGTTATTTTTTCAACCCTGTTATTCTTGGTTAGAAGTATTTTTCTTTAAGCTCCCCCCACCACCAAAAAAAAAAAAAGAAAGAAAAAAAAATGCTAGAGGTATCACAATACCTGACTGACTTCAAATTATACTACAAAATTACTGTAGTAACAAAAATTGCATGGCATTGGCATAAAGCAGACACACAGACCAGTGGTTCAGAGTAGAAGACACAGAGACGAATACACACAGGTACAGTCATTTGAACCTTGACAAAAGTTCCAAAAACGTATTTTGGAGAAAAAACAGCCCCTTAAACACATGATGCCAGAAAAACTGGTTATTCGTATGTAGAAGAATGAGACTAAATCTTTATACTTTTTACCCTGTACAAAATTAAAATGGATCAAAGACCTAGGAATCAGACAGAAATTATACAACTCATAGAAGAAACATAGGGTCAACTCCCAACATTGGGAGTAGGCAATGACTTTCTCTTTAGAACCTCTAAAGCTCAGGAAATAATGTGAGGAGTTAACAAATGGGATGACATCAAATTAAAAAGCTTCTGCACATCAAAGAAAACAATTAGGAATAGGAAGAGTAAACCTACAGAATGGGAGAAAAATCTTTGCTAGCTATAAACAAAGGCTTAATATCTAAAATATATAAAAAACTCAAAAGAAACTTAACACCAAAAAACATATAGCCCAATTAATGTATGGGCAAGTGGACTAAACAGACATCTATCAAAAGAAGAAATACAAATGGCCAACAAATATATGGAAAAATGTTAGCGATTAGGGAAATGCCAATCAAAACTACACTGAGATTTCATCTCATTCCAGTTACATGGCAGCCATCAAGAATTTAAAGAATAATAAATGCTGGAGAGGATGTGTAGATAAAGAAACACTTTTACACTGTTGGTGAGATTGTAAATTAGTACAACCACTCTGGAAATTCGTATGGAATTTCCTCAGAACACTAGGAATGGAATCACTGCATGACTATATACCTCTGTATTTATCCTAAAGATTTAAAATCATCATACTAAAGTGATACATCCATACAGATGTTTGTAACAGCAAAATTTACAGTAGTCAAACTAGCCTGTAAGTGGATGAATGCTTAAAGAAAATGTGGTATTAATACACAATGGAGTTTAATTGAGTTGTAAAAGAATGAAATTTGAAGGAAAATGGATGGAACTTGAGAATATTATGTTATGCAAAGTAAGCCAAACTCAGAAAGTTAGTGGTTGAATCATTTCTGTCATGTGAAAGCTGGAGAGAAAAAGGGAAAATGAAGGTTGGGGGGAATCTCATGAAAACTAAGGGGAGATCAGTAAAGTATAGAGAAGGGGTCAGGGGAAACTACTAGGGAATGATATTGGTTAAATTATATTGTTATGTTGTGTGCATGTATGTATGTAGATACATAACAATGAATCTCACCTTTATGTACAGCCATAATGCATCAATAAAAATATGGGGAAAAAAACTATAAAATACCTTCCTAAAAAGAATAAATAAAATTTTAAAACATGTATTTTTTTTGGGGTTGGGGTTGTGGCTCAGTGGTGGAGGGTGTGCTTTGCATGTGTGAGGTACTAGTTCTATCCTCAGCAGCACATAAAAATAAATAAAGGTATTGTGTCCATCTACAACTAAAAAATTTTAAAAATGTATTTATCTTAAATTCTGCTTATAAGTTAAACAGTTTATTTTTCAGCTTAAGTTTTCTCCTTGTACCTTCTAATGTTTGATTGTAATGTAACCACTATTTCCAGGATATTCCATGTGGAAATGTCCTTAGTCAGATCTACAGGTCCATTAGGTATATTTTTAATATTCTGATTTACTTCATGTGACAGTTTTGTTAATTGTTCTTCCAGTATACAGTGGGGGTCCTGCTTCTTCCAGCCTCCTTGAGCAGTTTCCTCATTGCTCTTTGCTTCCATTGTCTCCTTTT